ATGGTACAATGGTGCAGAGGGCAAAAGGTCAGGGAAATAGGGAAAAGAGGGAATGGGTAAATTTACGAGGACACGTTAGAAAGCTAGTGATTGGGAATTAGACAGAACACCATACACCGAAAGCAAGATAAATGATAAACTATCATGATAGTCAAAGAAATGGAAAAGTATTTCACATACGTCAACCATGTATCGTAGTTTATCTTCGGTTCTGAGCTTTATCCTACAATACATACAATATAAAAATCAGTGAACACATCCTACTAGAGAGTATAAGAATCAGTGAACAAATCCTACAATACAGTATAAGAACCAGTGAACACATCCTACAAGACACTATAAGAACCAGAGAACACATCCTTCAAGACACTATAAGAACCAGAGAAAACATCCTTCAAGACACTATAAGAACCAGAGAAAACATCCTTCAAGACACTATAAGACCCAGTGAACACATCCTACACGGCACTATAAGAACCAGAGAACACATCCTTCAAGACACTATAAGACCCAGTGAACACATCCTACAAGACACTATAGGAACCAGTGAACACATCCTACAAGGCACTATAAGAACCAGTGAACACATCCTACAAGACACTATAAAAACCAGAGAACACATCCTACAAGCCTCTATAAGAACCAGTGAACACATCCTACAAGACACTATAAAAACCAGAGAACACATCCTACATTGGAGATAAGCAACACTGCGAAATATAAAACAAAACTAAAACTCAAATTGATAATATATTACAAAACTCACAGTGTCTCACCTTATGAGAAACATGTCTCATGTCTCAAACCTCTGGAGTCATTATAGTATCGTGAGCAAATTATTACGTACATGAGGAGACAATGCTTCAAGGGATTATTCACAATACCACAATTATAAAAACAATCAATTTATTGTCAATATATCAACATTGAAAATATTGTTTCAAGATTAAGATTAAAGATTATTAATTTTTATCGCCAAGATAATCAATAAAAACAATTTACGAACTCGTAAATGTTCGTTTTGTACGCTTATAGTTGGGTTAATTTACAACAAATTTACAGCATATTCCTCGATATCTTAGTATATATCTCTACAAGCTGCCAGTAAACTCAAGCTCACTGAGTTTATGCAAGAATGTTCCCTTACTGGTAAACAAGATGTGACTGCGCCAGATACAATGATTCCAGGTCCTTCCTCGTCACATCTTTCACCTGGATTTAATTCTAGTAACTGCATTGGTAACGTCATAAAAGCCTTATAATGAACTCTCTAAACCTCCCGCCGCCATTATACTATTAGAAACTTTACTGTAGCTTACAGTACCTTGACGAAACTCACACACACACACACACACACACACACATACACACACGTCCCTGTGGCTCACTGAGAACCCAAATGAGCCACAGGGACGTTAGAAAGAACTTTTTCAGTGTCAGAGTAGTTAACAGGTGGAATGCATTAGGCAGTGATGTGGTGGAGGCTGACTCCATACACAGTTTCAAATGTAGATATGATAGAGCCCAGTAGGCTCAGGAACCTATACATCAGTTGACAGTTGAGGAGAGACCAAAGAGCCAGAGCTCAATCACCACAAGCACAACTAGGTGAACTACGTGAGTACACACACAGTAACCCACTCATGTCACTTTTACAGTTGTTAATATTGTAGTAAAAACGCATCGATATTTAATCACAAACTGTATTCATGACACGCAGTGTTATAACCTTATATTGTATACATGGAAATACGTGCTCATGTATGTCCATATATACAACCGTATTAATAATATTCCTCATCTCAAAATTTCTGTCTCTTATTTGTTAATGTATATTAAGCAGCTGGGTCATTAATTCCTCCTTTTGTAGGAGCATGTATATGTTGAGGGGAGTACTGGCATGTTTTGTACTGGGGAGTACTGGTGTTTTGTACTGGGGAGTACTGGTGTTTTGTACTAGGGAGTACTGGCATGTTTTGTACTGGGGAGTACTGGTGTTTTGTACTGGGGAGTACTGGTGTGTTTTGTACTGGGGAGTACTGGCATGTTTTGTACTGGGGAGTACTGGTGTTTTGTACTGGGGAGTACTTGTGTGTTTTGTACTGGGGAGTACTGGTGTTTTGTACTGGGGAGTACTTGTGTGTTTTGTACTGGGGAGTACTGGTGTTTTGTACTGGGGAGTACTTGTGTGTTTTGTACCTGGGAGTACTGGTGTTTTGTACTGGGGAGTACTTGTGTGTTTTGTACTGGGGAGTGCTGGTGTTTTGTACTGGGGAGTACTGGTGTTTCTTGTTGGTCACACTTCACACGCGAGGCGCTGATGCTCTCTGGATCAGCACGACAGGTGTTTCTAAGTAGCCAGCACTGTGTCCCCTATGCAATATTGCAACACACGCTGCGTATGTTTTTGCAACAGCTGCAAAGGTACAAATATATGATAGAGTACTTTACTGTGAGAGAGAGAGAGACTTTACTTGTTTGACACCTGTAATATGAATTGCCTGCACATAAACACACATAACTTGCTTACAAATCCCGCTCTTATAAACTTTCTGTTCCTGCAAACCCTGTTCCCTGAACCAGCCAATCACCTATAAATCATCTGGTAAATGTACTATTTAGTAAACCACCCGCATTACGATTCCTCCTCCATTACATTTGCAAGGACAATCTTCCCTAGTGACCAATTCTGAATAAGCTTAGATTCTCAACAACTTCGCTGGATATGTAAATTCACAGATAAAACAGGGGAAAAGAAACAGATACCATATCTATCAAATTACGAGTTTTTGGGTTTATCTGGAAAAAAAAATCATTAAAACATATATACGGTTTATGAATATTAGCCATTCACTTGGTACATAAGTACCATCACCAAATATCTAAATACTGAAACCTCTGTCGGGTTCGAACGCTGTTAATGTTTGGACGTGAAGATATTCGAGAAATTTACATATATATTTACATGTATATCTTACTTTTGTTAGCTTGTTTGGCATGGGCATGTATGTGTGTCAAGGACAATTCCTGCACTGCCGTAACGGCAAAAGAACACAATCAAATTGCAAATGTTGATCAACAGATGCAATTTTTTGCAGCAATTCTCATTAGCTCAACAGCAATATTATGTCTGAGTACTTTGTCTCTGGCTACCAATGACCCACTCTGTGCACTCTCAGGCTACTAGTGACCCACTTTGTGCACTCTCAAGCTACCAATGACCCACTTTGTGCACTCTCAGGCTACCAATGACCCACTTTGTGCACTCTCAGGCTACCAATGACCCACTTTGTGCTCTCTCAGGCTACCAGTGACCCACTTTGTGCACTCTCAGGCTACCAATGACCCACTCTGTGCACTCTCAGGCTACTAGTGACCCACTTTGTGCACTCTCAGGCTACCAACGACCCACTTTGTGCACTCTCAGGCTCCCAATGACCCACTTTGTGCACTCTCAGGCTCCCAATGACCCACTTTGTGCTCTCTCAGGCTACCAGTGACCCACTTTGTGCACTCTCAGGCTCCCAATGACCCACTTTGTGCACTCTCAGGCTACCAACGACCCACTTTGTGCACTCTCAGGCTCCCAATGACCCACTTTGTGCACTCTCAGGCTCCCAATAACCCACTTTGTGCACTCTCAGGCTCCCAATGACCCACTTTGTGCACTCTCAGGCTCCCAATGACCCACTTTGTGCACTCTCAGGCTCCCAATAACCCACTTTGTGCACTCTCAGGCTCCCAATGACCCACTTTGTGCACTCTTCGTTATACATTCGCTCATGAGATAAACGGTGACAACATTAAGCTCGCGAACATAAGTGTTCAAAATCACTGATCGCTGGGCCCGTCCTTAGCTCAAGAGTGCGAGAGACAAGCGAAGCAAATCATAGCTGGAAAATCAGAGCTTTGAAAGTGGTTGTCCAACTCGCTAATTATTGTTTCAGTTGTTGTGTCATCCGTCAGAGACTGATGGATGACTACTACTACTACCACTACTATTAGTTATTGCAGAGCAGCTGGGTGACACTGGTGGAGATAGAAGCGTTACCACTCCCTGGAAAATGCAAAAGTATTTTCTAAAGCAGCTGCTGAATTGGTTTGTGAGTTAAATAAATATTAATATATAGTATACATCCGTTGATCATTGAGACAACTTAGTATGTACATTATATATATATATATATATATATATATATATATATATATATATATATATATATATATATATATATATATATATATATATATATTATACAAATACTTGAATAAGTTTGGTAGTGAACAACATTCTTGATGTCGTCTTCATGTACAGTTACAAAAATTTAGAACTGCATTCGACAAAGACATGCACGAAAAAATTCAGAACAAGGAAACAAGCATAAAAGCAATTGCATCACCTACCTTAAGAGGTAAATCGGATGGTTATGCCACCTTGGCACTCAAGAGGACATTACCGAGTTAACAAGTGTAAACAAGATATCATTACCATGAGAAAGTTGAACAGTCCGGAAATCTGCTCGTTTCAACGAGTCCGTTGCATGCACAGTAATAATTGGAATAATAATAATAATTATAATAAATTGCTCAAAAATTCTGGAGTATAAAGAGAAGTAACCATTTCACGAGAGAAAATGTATAATAAAGATGGTAAAATGCGTGCGAAGTGTGAGGTGGGAGGGGGAGTGGGGGGGTGTATGGTGCAGGGGAGTGTGTGTGTGAGTGTGGCGATGAGGAGCAAGGTCCTCCTGGCACAGGGAGACCAACGGACCTCACACTCCAGCCATGTGGACCACAACACCCAGCATCGCACGCCTCGATAACCCACATGCCATCAATGATTAAATGGAGAGAGGAAAAAAAACGAACGGGGGGGAGAGAAAAAAGTCACACGGCATGCAGATGGCAAAAAAAAACCTTTGGGCAATATTAAAAAAAGATTGATATTGAAGAATGATTAAAATGAATATATTTGTTGATGGTAAAAAATGGTGACTTACGACCGGGATGGGGAAGCGAGAGGTGGCGGGCGTGGGCGTGAGGGCTCACTACACCGCGTGATTTCCACACCTTATAATAACGGCAGTGCACGCCGCACACAGCAAGAACACCGCCCTACTGCAGCAGCTGCAGCAGCACCGCCCCCAACACTATGATACAACACACAGCAAAACTGCTCCCCCCACACGGCCGCCACCACACGGCTCACCAACACAACCACACTGCTGGCCACTTGCCGCTCGGCCACAACATCTAGGCTACTCTAGGGCCGCCCCTTGGCTGGTCGGGCCCTTTGGTGCCGCTACTACCCGACTACTCTCTAGGGGTTGACGGCGCCCTGCCTCACCTTCATGCTGGCAGGGGCGGGCGAGGCCCCAGGCGTGGAGGGAGACCCGTGGGCACCCGTGGGCACGAGCCCGGGTAGCGGCAGGGGGACGAACAGCATCCCGGTGGCAGGTGCAGCAGTAGTAGTAGTGAGAGACGTGACAGCAACAGATGCAGCAGCAGCAATAGCAATCACTGCTGCAGGAACGATGCCACCTGCTGACGGAGGGTTGGAACTCGATCGCCGGGGCACGGGGCCGACACCTGGGCCAGCCACCACGTGTTCTTCGCTGCTACCGGCCGATGCCTGCACCTTCCACGCCCGTCGCTCGCGGCCTCAACGCCGCCCAAAAATCTCGTTGAAACAACAAACTGAACGCGAGGAGCGCTGTGGAAACTGCAGACAACAGCCGTCAAGTAGCGAGAACTATATTTCACCTAGCGTGGACACTGGAAAATACTTTATATATATATATAATATTTATATATATATATATTTCTATATATTCCTCAAGCTTTGAAAGTGACTTAGCGGATCTCCTAGTAAAGAGACCTTTTTCTCTATCCTTATTTTCAGTGATTGGATTGCACCAAGAACTGAAGGAAGGCCAACTGGTGCGGATCTCCGGCAGGAGTAGCAGAGAGAGAGAGAGAGAGGAGAGAGCTCCGGCGGGTGTAGTGCAGGGAGAGGGGCGGAGTGTACGGACCGCGAGGGGACACTGAGTTAGGCTAGGAGTGCGCGCCACGTCTGGCTCTGAGCTACTGAGGGGCGTCCCTTCGCTACCAGCCTGCCGTACCGGAGCCCAGACCTGCCGCCGGACCGCCCCCCGCTAAGCCATGCCCCGCACCTCGCTCCTCCTCCTCCTCCTCCCGACGTTATTGCTCCTGTTCCTACTGCCGCCGGCGCTGTTGCTGATAATGATGATGATATTGGAATCGATAACAGGCGATTCACAACACTGCTAGTTCTAACATGTGTTGCTAAAAACTGATAGATACTCCTGCTGCCACAGGTATGGACGGTTCTGCTAAACCGAACGCAGGTTTCACAGTTGCCAGGAGTGCCACACAGATGCAACCCTTGCTTGAATTTACCGATTTCGTGCACTGTATGTTGCAACTAATAACACCACTGCACGAAAGGTGCTCAATATGCAGTACATTTTATTAATAAATTTAACTTGTCTTATTGCCAGCCAAGAGACGAGGAATAAAGAGGTTTATACTAGTGTAAAGCGGTGGTGTGTGTGTGTGTGTGTGTCCACATTATAGACAGTAGCGTCCTCACCACTCAGTATGGGTCAGCACACCATGGGGTGAAGTACACTCTTCGCCTGAACACACACTCAAGTGTGTGAGTGCACTCATATACAGTAGTAAGTGATTCACTGCTGTATTTTGATTTATTTCTTATGTAACACCGATAAATGAAATGCTTTTGTATTTCAAATTTTACCATCTAATAACTCAAATAAATTATCATTATTTCTTGTTTTATAATAGATTTATTGCCATTCAACAGATTGTTCTTGAAATAAGAAAATAAGGCGTTTTATAGAGATTTAGAATTATGTTTCTAGATCTATTACCCACTGTTTCTAGTAATGTTGATGCTAGTACCTCTGTTTCCAGCGATGTTGATGCTTGTACCTCTGTTTCCAGCGATGTTGATGCTAGTATCCCTGTTTCCAGTGATGTTGATGTTTGTACCTCTGTTTCCAGTGATGTTGATGCTAGTATCTCTGTTTACAGTGATGTTGATGCTAGTACCTCTGTTTCCAGTGATGTTGATGCTTGTATCTGTTTCCAGTGATGTTGATGTTAGTACCTCTGTTTCTAGTGATGTTGATGCTAGTACCTCTGTTTCCAGTGATGTTGATGCTTGTATCTGTTTCCAGTGATGTTGATGTTAGTACCTCTGTTTCTAGTGATGTTGATGCTAGTACCTCTGTTTCCAGTGATGTTGATGCTTGTATCTGTTTCCAGTGATGTTGATGCTTGTATCTGTTTCCAGTGATGTTGATGCTAGTACCTCTGTTTCCAGTAATGCTGATGCTAGTACCTCTGTTTCCAGTGATGTTGATGCTTGTACCTCTGTTTCCAGTGATGTTGATGCTAGTACCTCTGTTTCCAGTGATGTTGATGCTAGTACCTCTGTTTCCAGTGATGCTGATGCTAGTACCTCTGTTTCCAGCGATGTTGATGCTTGTATCTCTGTTTCCAGTGATGTTGATGCTAGTACCTCTGTTTCCAGTGATACTGATGCTAGTACCTCTGTTTCCAGTACGTTGATGCTTGTACCTCTGTTTCCAGTGATGCTGATGCTAGTACCCCTTGTTTCCAGTATATTGATGTTACCACCAATGTTACCAGCAATGTTATCAGCAGTGTGATTCCTTCCCGAGTTTCGGACAAGGAACTCGGCAGTCATACTATAGAATTGATCATTGCAAGGTTGATGCAACCACCAGGCTCCTTCCACCATCAGACGATGAGACACAATAACCTGGTTGAAGATATGATATCCAAACCACACACCTCAAGATGAACAAACGACGACGTTTCGGTCCGTCCTGGAGCATTATCAAGTCGTATGTGATGGGAGAGATTGATTGATGAAGATTAAGCCACCACAAGAAGTGGCACGGGCATGAGTAGGTGTTGGTGGTATATGTTTGTAGCAAATGTGAGCTTTGGTCACGGGAGACATCTCCCGTCACGCAGGGTGCAGTCGCGCCTCCACAGATCTCCAGTATCATCTATTGATACTGGCAATGGCTCAAAAGGGCCACCACTTACGGGATATTCATGCCCGTGCCACCTTTTGGGTGGCTTAATCTTTATCAATCAATTACAGCTTTGGTCGTGTAACATCATGATGTGTCTCTGGGCGTGGAGGGAGAGAGAGAGAGAGGAAGGCACGGGGCAATAGAGTGATATGATGAGCAGGTAAGAGAAGATAAGGCGTAAGGTGGGGAGCAGGAGAGAGAAGAAGGTAAGAGTAAGGTGAAAAGGTAAGAATAGGATGAAAGGTACGAATGGCATGAGTGTTATAATGGGATGAAAGAAGAGTGGGATAGATACGAGTAAAAGAAGGGGTAAGACAAATAAAAAGTCGGGTAGGTTTAAGTCAGGTCACGTTTAAGTCAGGTCACGTTTAAGTCAGGTCACGTTTAAGTCAGGTTACGCTCAAGTCAGGTTACGTTTAAGTCAGGTCACGTTTAACTTAGTCCTTGCTTTGTTTATCCAATTCTTCAGTATGTGTATGTACGTGGGAGTGTTTATCTACTATTTGTATCTGCAGAATCGAGATATTAGCTCCTGGACCCCGCCTTTCAAACCAATAACTTGTTCCTCTATTATGTCTACTACATATATGTTTTTCTCTAAAAACACACACACAGTGTCTGCGTGTTTGAAACTCTGTTTTAGAGTTGGAACAAATTCAAACGGTTGAACAAGTGAGGTGGTGGTGGATGCCAAAACCGTCAGTAGTTTCAAAGAGTTATATGACCAAGAGTACTGGGAAGACGAGACACCACGAGCGTAGCTCTCATACTGTAACTACACTTAGGTAATTACACACGTCCCCAGGAAGCAGCCCGTAGCTGCTGTCTAACTCCCAGGTACCTATTTACTCTTAGGTGAACAGGATAGCCAGGGTGAAAGAAACTGCCAATTTGTTTCAGCCTCGGCCGGGATTCGTCTACAACTCCTGAGCGCTGTCCACTCAGCCGCGAGGTGTGTGTGTGTGTACTCACCTAGTTGTGCTTGCGGGGGTTGAGCTCTGGCTCGTTGATCCCGCCTCTCAACCGTCAATCAACTGGTGTACAGGTTCCTGAGCCTACTGGGCTCTTATCATATATATATTTGAAACTGTGTATGGAGTCAGCCTCCACCACATCACTGCCTAATGCATTCCACCTGTTAACTACTCTGAAAAAGTTCTTTCTAACGTCCCGTGAAAGACGTTAGAAAGGTACTAACTCCCAGGTACTTATTTACTGCAAGGTAACAGGGACATTCATTTCTTTCTGCCTGGTGCGGGAATCGAACCCGCGCCACAGAATTACGAATCATGCGCGCTATCCACCAGGCCACCAAGCCCCACTGTTTGTGTGTGTGCGTGTGTGGGTGTGTGTTTAATACGTTATTAAGCTCTTCTAAACACCACATGTAGTATTCGCTACACGAACCTGCAAAAAGCTGGTAATCTCATGTTAATACCTAGTAAATAATATGTACAGGTAAATTTCGGTCACATACTAGTGCCTAATTGTAAATACCGTTAACTGGCCAATTAAAGCAAATTATATATTCTGTTTTGTGGATTACTGATAAATACACAATATAAGGTCAAAGTATTGAATGACATTACAGAAGTATGTATATATGAAAGGGTATAACAAAGGGGGATATAAATCTATATGTTTTTTAAATATATCAACACAAAATATAACACTATTTTCACCTGAGTGTTTCAGGTGTAGGTTAGACACGTATTGATTAGTTTGAGTGGATACAAATAGCTGCCTCGTATATATACTCGGCAACAGTATATATATTTATATATTTAGGGGTACCACCTCTGGTTTAATTAAAGGGACCCACATCCTCGAAGAAGAAAATAAATAGTGTTCAGAGAAGACCTTGTGGATTCTCACTGAATACTTTAATCTTTTCCTCTCCTACCACCCCTATTATTTTTTTATTTTATTTTATATATATATATATATATATATATATATATATATATATATATATATATATATATATATATATATATATATATATATATATATATTATGAGTGTCAGACCACAGGGGAAAATTGAAACAGGAATTTCCTTAAGTACTTTCGTATATTAATACATCTTCAGAAGGCAAAGAAGGCCCTTCTGAAGATGTATTAATATACGAAAGTACTTAAGGAAATTCCTGTTTCAATTTTCCTCCGTGGTCTGACACTGTCACATTTTTAATCACGTGTTTATTTTTCGTGATTTACACACACACTCATATATATATATATATATATATATATATATATATATATATATATATATATATATATATATATATATATATATATATATATATATGTGTGTGTGTGTGTGTGTGTGTGTGTGTAAAATCCGACCATTAGTAAATACCAGAAAGCGGAAAATGCCTGACCACCAGTACAGAGCATACCGGGATAAAACCGGGTTTCATCCCGGTTTTAAACTAGGTTTAAAAATCTACCCTGAAGCGGAAGATTACAAGAGTGACAAAAATTCAGGCATACGCTGAGGATTACAACAGTTCATTAAAAACTAGTGCGGGGATTTGTCACGTGACTCTTATAGCTTAGGAGAGGTGCCTGAAGCGACGAAATATGAAATTCATAAGTTTTATATTATTATTTCCCTCCCCTAGAGATAATTTGTTTACATTGCTTGAGGGAAGAGCTGCTACTGAAATGTGGAAACACTTATGTAATGATTATAATCACTTTAAAATTTTATATTAGTGGCGTTTATTATACTAGGAGAGCGATAGAATGTTTTATTTAAACGTTTTGTTATTAATTTCTTTGTTAATGTTTAAGCAAAGTGGCGGCTCACAGGACCTTTTGAAATTATATATAGCTATGTCACGGGACAGTCTCACTCAGATAAGAATTACAGAGTGGCAGTATTTGACAGGTGGTGATATTAAATATGATAATGGTATGAGGTATGTGTATATTTTACACATACACAGTCTATACCCTATGTATACATATACACTAAGTATACAATACACAGTGTATACACAGTCTATGAAACCTGGGTTTGTTGTCTATCAGGAAATGGTTCCCAGAGTTTTTCCGACCAGTCAAAAATGCAACTTCAAGCAGACACCAAGTTGACGAGCACAGGTGTATTACAATAGGCCTGGGATCGCTGAAGTGTTTCAGTCGTAGGTTAGACATATATAAGAACGAGTCTGGGTGGATATAAATAGGAGTTGCATCAAATGAGCCAATAGGTCTTCTGTGTTTTCTTTATTTCTATGTTCTATTGTAGAAGATAAGTCTGGCGAGTGTGGTATGTGACTGTCCGTTCATATTAAATTGTTTCACAGTCTAGTAGAACAAGAGAAGAGCTGTAACATATAACACCATTTAAGGTTGCTCAGATCACTACCCTGGAAACACAAACCGAAACTGCCTCTATTTTCCGCTTGTAACAACTTGTAATAAAGTTGTTACATCGTGGCTTAATGTGTTTATGACGTATTGGAACGTTGTTACAACTTGATATATTGGTTGTTATAACTGGTTAGGTGGTGTTAAAACTTGTTCGAACGTTGTACCAACGTCGTAGTTTCGGTGTGTGTTTGGAGGGTAGTTGCACAGTAAACTCTTGACAAATATCACAACGTGTGCCAACTGATCCAGCAACACTGAACTGAACCTAAACTATTTACGAGAGAAGAAGTCAGAAACTGAAGAATGATGAAAGAGGGATAGGGAAGTGAAAATAGATTGAGAGATAAGTTGAAAGAGAGGAGGAATTAGAGAATGCGGATGAGGAAGATGATCATGAGGATATGAAGAAGCGATAAAGAGGAGGAGGATGTAGAAAAGGATGCTTAGGAAGATGAGGATTAAGCAGTAGAAGAGCATGAGGAGGAAAGAATTCACCATTAGCGACAAATTTTGATCCAAGGATTCTCGCAATTTTCCTCACTGGAAGACCAAGTTTGCCTAATTTGTCAAACTTTTAGCGCAGACATTTTTTCATTCTTTTAATTAGGCCGGGGACCAAATCGTCTTTATTATATATGTAAGGCGGATTCGTTTATTGTAGCCGCTGCTGCGAGGGGGGTGGGGTGGAAAGGATTGAGTTGGGGGAAGAGGAGAAACACGGGGGGGGGGGGAGGTGAAACAAGAGTGGGGGGGGGGGAGAGATGATATAGTGGTGTAGTGGTCAAAACACTCGCCTGGCGTTTCGCGAGCGTTTTGTCCTGGGTTCGTATCCTGGCCGGGGAGGATTTACTGGGCGTCAATCCTTAACTGTAGCCTCTGTTTACCCAACAGTAAAATGGGTACCTGGTTGTTAAATAATTTGGAGGGGTCGTATTCCGGGAATATTAGGATTAAGGACTTGCCGGAAACGCTATGCGTGCTAGTGGCTGTAAAAGAATGTAAGATATTATATATATATATATATATATATATATATATATATATATATATATATATATATATACACATACACACACGTGCAGAGCGAGAGAGAGAGAAAGAGAGAGAAAGAAAGAGAGAGAGAGAGAGAGAGAGAGAGAGAGAGAGAGAGAGAGAGAGAGAGAGAGAGAGAGAGAGAGAGAGAGAGAGAGAGAGAGAGAGAGAGAGAGGGAGAGAGGGAGAGAGGGAGAGAGGGAGAGAGGGAGAGAGGGAGAGAGGGAGAGAGGGAGAGAGGAGAGAGAGGGAGAGAGGGAGAGAGGGAGAGAGGGAGAGGGAGAGGGAGAGAGGAGAGAGAGAGAGAGGGAGAGAGGGAGAGAGGGAGAGAGGGAGAGGGAGAGAGGGAGAGAGGGAGAGGGAGAGAGGGAGAGGGGGAGAGGGAGAGAGGGAGAGAGGGAGAGGGAGAGAGGGGGAGAGGGAGAGAGGGAGAGAGGGAGAGAGGGAGAGAGGGAGAGGGAGAGGGAGAGGGAGAGGGAGAGGGAGAGGGAGAGAGACACAGACACCCCGGACCACAGCCTCACAGGACCTTAGGCCCACAGACACTCACTCACAGGACCATAGACTAAGACCTAAGCTTAGAAATAAATAAGACCAACAAACATTTAATTGATAATATCAACAGAGTAAATTTTGGAATTTGCATGTAAATAGGAACAGAACAATTTCCATTTCCCAGTATAATGCGGCTTTTAATAGCATAAATAATTTAGAGCTAATGGGGCTATATTACTTTGTCATTTTTGAGTGCACTGTAACATGGACATTACTATTAATAATCAGGAGATGCACTAATATGTTGTGCTTATTAACCCTACCAAACGTAAAATAAATGCCTATGTATTTATACTCGCCAGACATACACACATACATACATTCATACATATCTTTTACGTGACTGATTATGTTCTACTTGGAGACTTTCACACATGGATGGGGTTCCAGGGAAGGCAAAAGATTCTCTCTCTTTCTCTTTCTCTCTCAGGCAAGGATTCAATACTAATGTGACTGATCCTACAGAATGCCCCTGCAAGCTAAGAGCTGTTATCCTACATCAGCTCCTCGGAACCGCTCATGGAACTGTTCTGTATAATTGGGGACATTCCAAATGCATGTTTTATTCCTATTTTTTTTTAAGTGTTAAGCTTTTATAAAAGAAACTTTATATATTTGTTCATTAAACTTTATATTTTAACAAATATTATTAATATTAATTTAATCATTTGTTTGATATCACTAGAAATCTGAAATACATCTATATCAGGTTACTAAATTAAATTTTGTAATATGTTTGAAACAAAATATTTGCAATTATTCACTGAAACCAAAAAATACTTTTGGGAAAACTATTGCGTGTATTTTCAAAATATGCAACATAATAAATATTTAGAAATTGAAAAACTAATTGTTTCTTGTATCGCTTGTAACAATATGCATTGTGTAAATTTAATCAAAATTGAAAGAAAAGAGAAAAGCATATTTTAAGCAATAAATTGTGTTTTGAAATTTAACATTTCCCGCCAATTTCAGCTCTACAACCCTTACCACAGAGCAGAAGAAACAAATCTTAGAATAATCTTGAGGTTTTCTTGAGATGATTTCGGGGCTTAGCGTCCCCGCGGCCCGGTCCTTGACTAGGCCTCCTTTTTGTTACACACCCCCAGAAAGCAGCCCGTAGCAGCTGTCTAACTCGAGGGTACCTATTTACTGCTAGATAACATAGGCATCAAAGTGAAAGAAACATTTAGCGCATTTATCTCCGCCTTCACCGGGGATCGAACCCGGAACCTTAGGTCTACGAATCCGAAGCGCTGTCCACTCAGCTGTCAGGCGCCAAAATGGAGAAAGAGGATGCAAACCTCGAGGTAGATAGAAGAGCAACCCTTACAGCTGCATGTAGAATTATCAACTGAAAACGAATATTAATTAAACAAGATATGCCAAGGTATTCTCACCAGATTATCCTTTTTCAGAGTCAGCTTCTCAAAGAAATCCTCCCCCAGAGGAAATGTCTCCAGACAATCCTCCCCCAGAGGAAATGCCTCCAGACAATCCTCCCCCAGAGGAAATGTCTCCAGACAATCCTCCCCCAGAGGAAATGTCTCCAGACAATCCTCCCCCAGAGGAAATGTCTCCAGACAATCCTCCCCCAGAGGAAATGTCTCCAGACAATCCTCCCCCAGAGGAAATGTCTCCAGCCAATCCTCCCCAAGAGGAAACTACCATCACACAATCTAGACTCCGTTTTAATGCAAATTAAAACATAAACTACCTATTTTTGTAGGTCTTGCACGCGTGGGTTTACCGCAGATGTAAAACAAAATTCGGTTTACAAACCATCTGGCAAAACGCGGCCCCAATACCCTCCAACTACCACATGTGTAAAATGGGGCAAACTTTGTTTACATCCATTAAGTCAGCTGTTTGCCTCATGTGCCAAATATTTTCCAAACCTGGCGATCTATGCAATCTAGTAAACAGAATGATATAAATAATAAAGTCTCTAAGGACGATAACAGACTGTTTTGCGGTCAGGGTGTGACACTTGACGCAGCTGAGGAAGACAGTTTTCAGCTTCGTGTAAAGCATGAATGAATCAGTACACAAACTATAAGAAACTTGACAATAAAACGGATGGCCTAACACACACACACACACACACACACACACACACACACACACACACACACACACACACACACACACACACACACAACACACAACACACACACACACACACAAAGAACTTTTCCAGTGTCAGAGTAGTTAACGGACGGAATGCATTAGGAAGTGATGTGGTGGAGACTGACTCCATACACAGTTTCAAGTGTAGATATGATAGAGTCCAGTAGGCTCAGGAATCTGTACACTAACTGATTGACAGTTGAGAGGCGGGACCAAAGAGCCAAAGCTCAACCCCCGCAAGCAGAAATAGGTGAGTACGTACACACACACACTTTGGCGTGAACAGAGAGCCAAAGCTCAACCCCCACAAACACAAATAGGTGAGTACGTACACACACACACACACACACACAGTTACGACCGTGTGAGTGATGCAAATCCTAAACCCATCTCAGGGGCGCAATAAACTCGTAATTCGGTGTAATTTGGCACAGTTGTGGCTTAGTCGGCTTTTAATGGCGCAAAGGGGAAAAAAAGTGCGATTTCCGACTTTCTGGTCCAGAAGACCGACTTAAGGGTAATTAATGCTTTTGCGGCTCCCAAGACGACAGGTGAAGCAAGATATTGGCGTAACTATGGAAGATATACAGGTTTCTGAATTGGCGTATGATCCTTGCTTCAGTATCGCTGTATTCATACAGGTGTATCCACATACTTCTAGAGTTTCAAATGTTGTTACTATAGTATTGCATTTAATTCTATTTACGTAAAATACATTTGAAATATGCCACAGCGGAGAATTCGTAGATACACAATGCAAATTATACATTCCCATTAAATGCACGGAGCGTTTCGGGCTCCTAAGCTCTGCCTTTCAAACACATACATCCCCCTGGTGCTGTGTGCGTACGTGAGAGAATGAGCTTTGTGAGCACTTACTCAGGAGAGTGTTTTAGCTATGCGTTCATGAATGGACTGTCCTTATGAACGTGTCCTTAGATATACTCGTTTAAACGAGCCTGAGTGTTCAAACGTCCTTTTCTGCGTATTTATTTCACATCTAATTCATTTCATTTAAGACCCTCAGGCTGAAGTGACCGGGAAAGCAATAGGGGAAGGAAAGTAGAGGAAAAGCATAAAATATATATAAGGTGACCAACGGAGATGTAGACAAGGAATAGAGAGAGAGAGAGAGAGAGAGAGAGAGAGAGAGAGAGAGAGAGAGAGAGAGAGAGAGAGAGAGAGAGAGAGAGAGAGAGAGAGAGAGAGAGAGAGAGAGAGAGAGAGAGAGAGAGAGAGAGAGAGAGAGAGAGAGAGAGAGAGAGAGAGAGAGAGAGAGAGAGAGAGAGAGAGAGAGAGAGAGGAGAGAGATAAGAAAGAAAAGAAGGGACAAGGAGAAAGCAATTTAGACGGGAGAAAATTGCAAAAGAGAGAGTTAGTGAGAAACAAAAAGATATCGTAGAAATGTGATGCAAAGGAGGATAGAGGAAAGCGATAGGGAAAGGCGTTAATACAAAGAGGAAAAGAGGGGAGGGAATAGTGAGAGGGGAAAAGAGGGAGAGGAAAGAGGGAGGGAAGGGGATATGAGAGGAAAGCAATACCATCCAGCAGGATAGTCACGACCCGGCCTCCAGGGAGAGTGGATTACTCCCACGGGTTATTGAGTCTCAACCCCACCTCCAGCCCACTCTTTCTCACCTCACACTCGACCCCCGTCCCCCCTCAATCACCCCTGTCACCCACCAGGGCATCCCTGTCACCCGCCAGGCATCCCTGTCACCCGCCAGGGCATCCATGTCACCCGCCAGGGCATCCATGTCACCCACCAGTCATCCCTGTCACCCACCAGTCATCCCTGTCATCCACCAGGGCATCCCTGTCACCCACCAGGCATCCCTGTCACCAGCCAGGCATCCCTGTCACCAGCCGGGCATCCCTGTCACCAGCCAGGCATCCCTGTCACCAGCCAGGCATCCCTGTCAACCACCAGGCATCCCAGTCATCCACAAACATGTCCAGTCATCCACACCATACTCAATCCTCCTCCAGCATACCTTTGATAGCATATCAAGCATGTATAATACTATGTAGTATACAACATATATACTACATCAGTATATGTAGTACAGATGCAGCAGTACTCATTAATAAAAGTAGCAATAGTGGTCATAATAGTACTAATATTACCATCAATATTAGTAATACCAGTAGTAATAGCCAGAAAAAAATAGTGAGCGATTAAAAGTGGAAATGGAGAAGTAATAGTTTTATTAATATCATAATTAAAATAAGTTAGCATCCCATTAGGAGCAATATTGTATTATGCATTATTGCATTATTAGTGGTAGTGGTAGTGGTAATGGTAGTAGTTGTAGTAGTAGTACCAAAGGAAGGGCAAATAGCATTAAACCCATGTGTGTGTAAGTAGGTGGCGATACTTGCTTTAATAAGTAGTATTGGCTGTGTCTCATAAGTGGGAAGAGGTATGTTAAGTGTAGCTCTTAAGTGTGATGGTGACTATAATGTATACCTGCCTCATGTTCATATTATACCAACATCATGTTCATATCATGCCAACTTCATGTTCATATCATGCCAACTTCATATTCATGTCATCCCAACCTTATGGTCCCTCCCTCACAAAACATCCCCACAACCTCTTAACCCCACCCAAATATACGTTAATTCCCCCACCAATCATTCAAATCCCACTCAATCCCTCTTTTCCCCCTCTTCACTATTCTTATCTCCTCTCCACCTCTTTCCTCCCCTCTTCGCCAATCTTCTCCCCTCTATCCTCCCCTCTACCTGTCACCTGTCCTTACCTCCACCCTCTCTCACCGCACCGTTCCCCTCCCTTAATGACCAAAACCTTTTATTTACAATTACCCTCACCACATCTATTCCTCTTCCCTTATCTATTTCCCTTAATCACTTCAAATTCCTTCATCTACAACTGATCTACCCCTTCCCCTTTGCCTTAGATTCACCCCCTTCCACTCTACCTCAGAGCCACGCCCTCCCTTCTATCTCAGGGCCACACCCCTTCTAGACAGTCGGGGATCGAACGCCGACCCTGCAGGAATCAAGGTCGTCGCTCTACCTACTAATCCAAGTAGTTGAGTCTAGTATCATTAGATGGATAACGCTGTGCAACAAATATTATAAAGAACAATGAACTGGGCTCGAACTCGCGACTGGTTTACGTAAACCTATAGCATTCCCTCTCATTTTACCTTGTCATTAGCCTCTGCATTCCTCCTTCTCTCATCTCCCACATTCCCCTCCCAGACAATATCCCACACACATACACACCCCTCAGAGATTCTCCCATACATATCACTCCTTTCACTCCTGCTCCTGGGGTGTGTGTGCACGCGCACACACAACCCACACACATCCCACACACATCCCACACACACACACACACACACACACACACACACACACACACACACACACACACACACACACACACACACACACACACACACACATACACACACACCTGCCAAACAGCCTCCCACCTTACACTAGGCTGCAAGATGCAACTTTATCGTTATTTACCTCGACATTGGGCACCAGCCGCCGCTTTTGCATAATCTACGCGACTCTACATTGACAAGGGAAAATCTGTATCAATCTGTATCCCTATTTGCCCAATTTCTCCCACATCTCTCCTTCGCAGCCCCACCCAATCCTATTTCCCAACCCCTCTCTGCCCTCTGAGAATAAAAGCAGGGGAGTGTAGTGAGGGGGGTGTGTGAGGCATCCTACACCCCCCTCACCCCAGAGCAAGGGTTGTGAGGGTGTGTGTGAGGCATCCAGCACCCCCTCACCCCAGAGCAAGGGTTGTGAGGGGGGGGGGTGTGTGAGGCATCCAGCACCCCCTCACCCCAGAGCAAGGGTTGTGAGGGGGTGTGAGACGCATCCAGCACCCCCCTCACCCCAGAGCAAGGGTTGTGAGGGTGTGTGTGAGGCATCCAGCACCCCCTCACCCCAGAGCAAGGGTTGTGAGGGGGGTGTGTGAGGCATCCAGCACCCCCTCACCCCAGAGCAAGGGTTGTGAGGGGGTGTGAGACGCATCCAGCACCCCCCTCACCCCAGAGCAAGGGTTGTGAGGGGGGTGTGTGAGGCATCCTACACCCCCTCACCCCAGAGCAAGGGTTGTGAGGGGGTGTGAGACGCATCCAGCACCCCCCTCACCCCAGAGCAAGGGTTGTGAGGGGGGTGTGTGAGGCATCCTACACCCCCTCACCCCAGAGCAAGGGTTGTGAGGGGGTGTGTGAGGCTTCCTACACCCCCTCACCCCAGAGCAAGGGTTGTGAGGGGGTGTGAGACGCATCCAGCACCCCCTCACCCCAGAGCAAGGCTTAGAAACAATCTCAGTGGGTTAAGTTGTCCCAGAGAGTGAAGACAAGGCGACGGGAAGCAATATGGCTTCAAAGTAACACGTGAGGAAGCACGGACATTACCTTCAACAGCTCCCGGGTTGCCATGGCGTACATACCTGCAATTGGGAAAGGTAAACAATTAAACATGTATTCCGTTGTATCTTTTAAATGTATTCCTAATGAATTCCTTATTGTATTTAATACGTATTTGTTGTATATCAAATGTATTTACACACTACAC